GAATCAAATGTAGAAGTATCTCGTGCGACTGTTGCCATGCCAACATCAAAAAGACGTTCAAGGTCAGAATAGTGGTACTTGCATTTACCCTAGTCCATTGGCCAAAGTGCACCGGTAGGCTATAAAGTTGACAATCATATTAAGTGTGAACAGCGCGAGTGAACGTGATCAGCAAACCTATTATTTCAAAACGCTCGGAAGAGCGCCTTTTCAGGTCGAGAGGGGAAGACGGAGGTATTGGGATACATCAATTAAGATTGTTTGTACATGCCAATATGCACAGTTACAAGGAGTTCTGACGCAGTAAGCTGATTGGAGGTGAAACAGGCATAAGCCCTCTCAAGAAACTTCTTATGTAAAAAGCTGAACACAAATTACAAAATATACAAACGGAACAAAGATAAGTAGAAGAAATTCACTAGGCTTCCTCAAGCAAAATAACTCGTAGAAAGGTAGGTGTTACTTCATCACTTGTTTTATCATCAGGATAATATTATATATTACTAATAATTATATTAATATAATCTGTCGTTTAAAGTCACAAAACCACGATATCATTATGAGAGACGCTGTAGTAGAGAACTCCGGAAATATTTCTTCTGGTGTTTTTTAACGTGCACAGACATCGCACAACACATCGGTTTATCATCAGATATGGAAATTTTAGGCACATGTTTACGAATGACAACTTGACTAGTGAGACATCTCCGTGATTCTATCACTGAAAAGAAAAAAAGCTTGGTTGGAAGCATCACCATGTCTATGCAATGGTTTTCACATTAAACAAGTCGAAAAAACGGCGATATGGATGCGGAAAGCTGCAATATAACATGTGAAAACAAGGAAGACATAATTTTTTATGCGAAGCAGCTCTTTTAATAGCAAGTGTAACGCTGTCCTTCCGTGTCTCCGTGCCAAGGCACCACACTGCGCTTCCCTCGCCGCAATTGCTGAAATCATGCCAACTAGGTCAAGTCGTAGCTGCGCGTTGATGTCGCTTTCTCCCTCACCCGCAGCAGCTGCTCTTGGCTCTTACGCCAGTTCGCAACACACCTCTCTCGTTTCATCCTCTCCGTCGCCCACGACGCTCGACCACACGTCGAGTGGTAACAATAGACAGATTTCGTTGTGCGTCTGCAGCAGCCGTACAGACGGGACCTGCCATTGCAAACTGCTAACAAGCTGCGGCCGTATGACATCCTGTGAAAGCGGCACTAAATATGTCTATTCTTTCGGCTCACTTGTTTGTGATGAAACGTACACGAAACCCAATTCACCTCCCGTGTTCTCGCATTCCACACAAACGTTTACTCGAGTAAATGCTGCACCGAGTTTCACTTCAAACCATTATTCCAGCACCCGCGTGGACGCCCGTTTCCACTGAATCAATGCCGTGCCCACCACTGCTGCTTCACATCCAATCATCAGTTCCTTCGGAGAGAGGGCGCTTAATTTTTTAAGTTAATCATTGAGAAGTGAGACTAAGCCTTCATTGATGCATTACTTCACAAATACATCAGTTTGTGAATTGCATGTTTTGAAGTTCTTGAAAAATTTGTAATATGGTTCATGGTATGCGCCAAAAGTAGCAGTGATACAAATGCGTCATTTAAAAGAATCAACAAGTTGACCAAAACTAAAAGAAATAAATGAAGCAATACCATTTGTCGATGGGGCCTTGTTGCCCCAGGGTCCTTGGCGGCCGATGATCTCGTAGAGAACGATGCCGAAGGAGTAGACGTCACCCTTCTGCGTTCCGCGTGCCGGTGGACTAGGTGACCGCAGAAGCTCAGGAGCACGCCACAGGAGGCCTATGAACATTACCGCCCATGAAGAAATATAAAGTTGGTTGCATATGGTAAAATGATCATTACTGCTACCGAAAAGTGATGCCATTTGATGCAGTAATTTTAACCGTTACAAGCATGCTTATAAGGACAGCCAATCGGAATTTGTGTGGGTAAGTTTACATGATGGCGCACGAAGTGTCCAGCGAGCCATTGAGACATCGGGATCTTCATTTTTTAGGCACACTGCAAAAAAAAAAAAGTGGATAACCTTAATTGTGGTTATGCCAGCTCCATGTCACCGATTCCCCTCTCAATCGACTATGAACTTCGTTCTGCCAAGCACCCGGCCGGAATTGCGCTTGTATCTATATAACCAGTAGGTTATTTTGTACTATCAATTTTGTGCCGACCACAGCAGTGGTGGTTGCTCAACTGTTTCACCAATGCCTTGGGAGGTTAAGGTATTTCCAAGCACATTCGCAGAACCTATAGGACTACCTTTCGAGATGAGTTCCCATAAGCTACCGAGCGCCAGGATGGTGTGCTCCTATTCCCATTGAAAACAATTTGTGTGTTTCCGGTCCGCAATTCTTGAACCCGGTACTTCCCGCATCGAAAGTTGACGCTCTACCCGTGTACACAGCGTATGCGCATAAACAAGGCGTCCATCGCACTCTAAAATTTCCTGCACATGTTTTGGCGGAAAGCAGCCATCGTTCAGCTAAAGTTCAATCACGTTAGCAGTGTTTCCGCGCAACCGTAGCTACTGTTACGAAGCTTTGGAGTTGAAGCTTGAAGTTGTATATGTCGACAGGCGAATTCTCGCCGAAATCTTATTTAGGGTGGTTCTGCCTGGGAAGGAATCGTCGAAGTTTACTGCGTTAAAGAAATGCGGTTTTCTTTAGTGTGGCTTGCCCCATTTCAAGATGACGCGGTGAATCATTTGTTCATACAATATTAAGAGGTAAGTGTTCTTTTTTCAAACGTTTCCGGAGTGTTTTATGGCATTTTAGGCATGTCATGTTCTGCAATTTAGGCACGTCCTGTTAGCATGTCATTTGGGCATGTCAGATTTAGGCACGTCATGTTGTGCAATCGTGCGTGATGTGCCATTACAGTATCCATATTAGAGGAAAAGGACACGCCGCTGTTTGCTGATTTATTTCGTCCACCTCTAAGAAACTTATTCGAGCCGCTCTTAAGTACAAGTGTACACAGGGGTGACTTCTTGTCGCCGCACGCAAGCGCGTCTCCTGCGGTTGGAAGTCGAAACCGTGTCCTGGAGCTTTGCCGCACAGCACCACAGTCACTATGCTGTGTGTTGCGATTTTGGTTCAAGAATCAACAAAAACAAGAACGTCATGCGTAATATTCTCTATTTGCTTTTCTTTAGCCGGCATAATAAGTTTTCTCTCACTGCATGGATGCTTGGAACTTATTCCCTGCCTCTATTAAATGTTTGTCTTTGCAAACATTTTGAGACAAAAACTAACTATTATGTTTTTAACGCGTTATAAGCTTCTGTTCTTTGTTCTTGTTTATTGCTGTTGTCTCATCAGGTCATATCAGCTGCTTGATATTTTTTTATATGCGCGCTCCATGCCACGCTTTACCTTGTGTCTCGCATGCCAAATGTTCACCACATTTGCTTTTTTTTACTGTTCCGTTGTAGGCTGATAAAGCAGAACGCCGTGAAGTTTCTTAATAACAATATTTCGAAGAGTGAGACTTGACCTCGATAAGCGTTCTCGGTGACCGCCTGTGGAGCGCATGTTTGAGCGGCGCGGAATTCGTGCAGCCCGAAGTCGGAGATTTGGAGCACCCAGCGCGAGTCCACCAGGCAGTTGGATGAACGCAGGTTGCCGTGAGACAACACCTCGCTGTCGTGGATGTAGATCATGCCCTGCAAAAACCAAACGACAACAGTTATGTTCAGCCTAGAAAGGTGGACGATTTCAACTTGTTTCTTAATCAGCAGCTCCACCAAAGAGATATACGTAGACTGAGAACATTATATGGAGCGCCGTTGAAAAACCCACAAGGAATGCATGAGGAAAGGATGGGCACAAACTCCCATCTTCCGAACGTTACGACAAAGCAAGTTTCTATAAACATAAATTGCAACACCATATGCTATTACTAAATACGCATATACCTTCACACCCTTATAAGCAATACACCTCCCTTACGGCTATCTTTTTTTCAAACAATATCATGAAGTGGTAGCACGCAAGCAAGTTCGATACACTGGCTAATACCAATAATATCTGGGATTTAACGTTCCAAGGCCACCGTATAATAATGAGATTTGTTGATTGATGTTTTTTTATTGGTGCAATGGCAACTTCATGGCAAAGAGTGCCAGTACAGAGGGACAAGTGTGACTATTGCATATGTTAGCTGACTGTATAAAGGTCTGCCATTCAACGCCCTAAAGATGAGTAAAACATATAGGTACTAGAATTATGAGTGTGACATGAAATGTGTGTAGGGAAAATGAGCGGCAAAAAGTTCGAATACAATGAAATTTCGGGGAAGTGGTACAAGCACGGATGGCTTGTTAAACACACTTGTCTCGAAGAGCCATGATACAGGTGCCTTTGTGATGCAGCTACCGCAGCAGCGATCTCCGTTTGGATATTGTGCTGCAGATTGCCATGGTAAATCACGTGAAAGCGATAAACATCATTTAAAAAGGTGAAGAAAAACGGGTCCCTACTTATGAGTATTGCTGAATGGAGTGGAATTTACACTCGGTAAGATAATAGGAAATTGTTTTTCCTAACATGATTTAGTTATCTGAATTGTAATAAACTATGAGAGAGTAAGGGTTTCACCTCATTTGTCGCAACCGAACAGAAGATAGACAGAAGATCACCACCGCACAGAATATGTGCATGTTTGTTGCGTATGTCTCTTATTCGTAGCCTGCTGAGTGTTATTTGTTTCGTGCATGGCGTGACTTCGATACTGCTGGTCAACTTTCAAGGTTCGGTTTGATGACACGTGCCTTATTTACAGTTGGTGTGTCTCATAAGGTATGCCAGTATGCTCCGAGTTTTCGCCCTAACAGGGGTTTTCTGTCTAGTGGACGTACAGCTACGAAAGTGTCAAAAGCATTTTCATGGACTGATGCAGTAAGCTGGTCCGCCAATACATTTCCCTGTATGTCGCGGTGCCCTGGCACACAGCACGCCACGACAGTAGGATTGTGAGAAATGTCGTAGTGGAGGACTCCGGAAATGTCTACCACCTGATGTGCTTTAACGTCCACCTGAATCTATTAACATCGGTCTCAAACAGTCTCGCCTCTTGGATGCATTTGTCTAAAGATGTGTACTCAAAATATAAAATAAAAAAAAATAGACTGAATTACAGGATCACAAAGAAATAAATTAAGAGTTACAAACAGAGATACCGAGTGTCATACATATTAAGCTGTATTAAAGAAGAACGTCTTTTAAAATAGTAAACAAGATGAACCGTGTTTTTATAAAGTGTACATATCTTCCTTGCCTTTGATTTGCGGCGGATCCATGCAATATGTTCCACGTATGTACAAACTAGCCCGAATGAGAGCGTTACAAGCACTCGTTCATATCGATAGGAGTACTGCGTTTTACTGTCTTTATGTGTCACTTTTTTCTTCTTCTTTAATTTATAAAACGTTGTTTTCCAAAAGATCTCGAAAGAGCCTAAGAAAAAAAGATTTTGCCATCAAGGCATAATTGTGTGCCACTAGGCTCTGGCACGTCGGCCTAACCTAATGCAGAGTACCATGCATTTCTAAATAATACAAAGCCAACCTCCGGGAGCTGAAAAATGACATCACTCTATCCCACTCCCACCCCCCTCCAAAAAAAGTGTACGTTTTCTAGACAAACATTTTACTTTACGGTGTCAACGTGTCGCTTATAAGTAGTTTCAGTCGCTTCCTTAATTCTACTTTTTAAGGTACACTTCATTTGCGCAAACCATTACTGACTTCATTTAAAGGCACTTCGTAACTTCTGTAGAAGCTTCCATATGCTCTCGTCTCCAGCGCTAAAGCAGCTTTCTCTTCTCTTGTTATATAAGAAATAGAGTGACCATACTCATCTATATACTGACGCTTCAACTAAAGTGGATGGGTCTGCAGGGTCGGTGATCTTTCCTGCAACAGCGACAACGGTGAAGCTTCGTTTATCCCACCAGACATCATCGCCAGCTGCGGAACTTGCTGCTCTACGTAGCACAATTCAAGTCATTAAACACCAAGAAGCCAAGAAATGGAGCGTGTTCACGGACTCTAAGGCAGCACTACAGTGTTTGACATTCGCCTTACGCCGGGGACCTCATGAACAACTAGTGCTGGAAATTAGAGAGCTGCTTCACCACCTCTTCGACGAAGGACACAGAATCACGTTTCAGTGGCTTCCAAGTCACTGCGGCATATTGGGCAACGAACATGCCGATGCAGCTGGCCGATCAGCACACGAAGATGGTGAAGAAAAATCTATACCATTTTCAAGGATTGATGCTGCAATGACCATCCGAAAAATTGCTAATGCAGAATTAAAATTCCTGTGGAACACCGAGTGCTTACGGCACACGCGACTGCGTAGACTGGACACGTCTCGTCGACTCCGGCCTCCGTCTGGACTCTCCCGACTCGAGACAACGGTGCTTTGCCGACTATGGCTTGGTGTCACCTTCACCAAAGCTTTCGCCTTCCGAATCGGCATGGAAGACAGTGCTGCTTGCGGTCATTGCGGCAGCGATGAAACTATAGAGCACGTTCTCTGTCACTGCCCTCGTTACAGCGTGCAAAGACGGCAACTAGCTGCTGCGTTAGCTCGCCTTGACGACAGACCTTTGTCTGAACAATCAGGGCTGGAAAGACGACATGAATTGTGTGCTCACAGAAAATCAGTGAAGGCCCTACTGAACTTTTTGCGTGGCAGTGGCCTATTGTATAGACTGTAGCACCCCAGCTCCCCCCCTTTTTTTTTCTTTCGTGCGCGTCTATTTCACTCTTCGCTTTCTTTCCAATCTTTCTTCCCCATTCCCCCTTCCCCTAGTGCAGCGTAGCAAACCGGATGCTCCATTTTCTGGTTAACCTCCCTGCCTTTCCCTCATTTTATTCTCTCTCCATATGTTCTGATCTAATTTACCGGTAGACTGTCTATGGTGGAGTAGATTGTTTATTGTAAGTCACTTACTGAACCATAGTCTGTGTAAACAATAGGTATAAGAGAACATTCTCGTATGAATTATTAAAAAGTGTTCATATTTTTAAACGAAATAGTATTGTTGGTATTTATTCTAGATTGAAACTATTTTTCTCAATTATACATTGTTATCAGCTGAAGAAAACAAAGTTAGCCAGTCAACAGTAGATGCAGCAAACTACCCGTGAGTGTGCTTCGCATAGACTGTCACCATGACGCGCACTACTATGTGAAACCTTAAAGGTAGAAATTATTGTGCTACATTCATCCTGCAGTTCAAACTAGATAAGCTAAAGCTTCATTTACCTTGATAAGGTCCGCCACCAGAGATGAGATGAACATACTGTCGAGGTCGAGATCGTCGTTCTTCAGCACATCCTGCAGAGTGTGAAATAACAGGTTTTCTTATGAATAACCACACAAACAAATACTAGACCACCTTTTTCAGGCTAACAACAAGAGGTCAAACTAATGATTGGACACCATTCCTTGCACGCACTATCTTTTTTTAAACATTCTTTTTTTCCGCGAACCATTAGCGAATGCAATAACCTGCCTTGACACGCTTTCCCCGACAGTAGCATTCATGACCTAAAGATACATGTATTTTTACGTGTAAACAACAATGTTTATATTGCCATGCTAGAATAAGTGATCCCATGGTACGAGCTGTGTTGACTTCCTTTATTTTGCTTCAACTTGTTTCTAGAAACTGGCGCACTTCTGGAATTTTATGTTTAGTAATCCTTGCTGGTTTGTTCAAATTTTCAGTAGTACTTAGTTTCCCTTTGTGTAAAACTTACTAACATTTTGCACTATTCTCCCTCTTTTAGCCTCCCCTGTCTGGTTTATGGACTGCAGGAAACAATATTAAAAAAACAAAGTTTTGCAATTGGACTGTATTGCGAATGCTCTGACGTGAAGGAGAGAGGTGCGGGTTACGCATCAGTAGCAAACATGTCCACTAAACTCAAGTTTTTGTCGATTGCCGATGATCACAAGGCTGACCTGCTCTACTGTTTTATTTATTATCCTCAACATCTAATTTCGTACATGGCTTAGACAAACCACGCAATTTTCTTCCGACTTCTATTCGCAAAAAAGGCGCTTTAATTCTTCCTTAAATATTTGTTGTTTCACACTGGATATGCCTTTGCTTAGAAATGTCACCTTTCCCTTATAAATAATATTGGAACACTTAAAGAAAGCCTATGAAAATTCACACCTTGAATGTTAGGTGACGAAGGCTCTTGAACTTGAGTATTTTGATCACAGCATTAGTAAGCATTGTATAAATAGTATGACGAATTCGGTAACTTAGCAGATATTATCATATCGACATCACTGAACACGAAAGCAACAAATCGGAAGGTCAGCACAGAATGGCAAGCAAGTCAAAACATTCCCCGCGTTTCTCAGGCACAAATAACGCATGAAACGTTCTCACAGGTACAAATGAACGCGAATAAGCGTCTTAGTTTTTACTTTGCAGTGTCTGGAAAGAGCGCTCTTTTCGAAAACTGAGACTGTGCAACGATTGAAGTGACCTTTGTGCGCCCGGTAACTACAACAGAATCGTTCCGGCGAAACCCAAAGTCTAGCCGAGACGTACAATCTTCCCCACTGCAAGATAAGGGCGTTCGATCAAGCGTCCACACCCTTATTCTCAACGTGGGGCAAAGTACGCGTGGGAGATGAGCGCATGCCGCTGCGTCGTGACTATGTGAAGACGCGCGCTCATTGCGCCATCTTGCTGGTAATGCTGAAAGCACTATAGTTCCCCTGAGATGCGCGGCACTAGCGGTAAGCGTTAGATATAAATTTCCTGCCGTTTGAAAGTTTAGGAACGTGCTCCTCTGCAGCTCAGTAGTTAAAGTCTCGCGCTGACGTCTCAAGGGATTCGAGATCGCTTCGATGGTCTTTTTCTGCAGTTTTTTTTTCTTTCTCGCGTTTTCATACATATACATACGTATACATACTTGGTGAGTGCCACAGGTGTCAAAATCCAACCGATAATGTCAATATATTTGCTATCGGAATAAAAAAGAACAAACACAGGCCTGCGCGAAAACCACAACACAGTCACAGTGAAAGCTGGAAGAGTGGCTATTCTAGAGCCCATCATACGCAAGTGCGGTCCCTACTACAATATACGCTACTAAGGTACCCACTAAGATTTAAATTGATGTGGTGTCTGATGGCAACAAAAATTGTCGATGATCTCTTTGTAATGAGTTGGAACCACTCAACGACTCACTCGTTACCAAAACTACTGACGCCTAATTATACAATTTGAGTTGGGTGTGGTTGTTACTTTTTTCTGCTACCACTTTATAGTACGCACGCCAACGCCGTTCCTTCCCGACATAGCGCCTGTATAGAGCATTTTTGCGGTGGGGTGTTAAGTACCGGCATGGCTCTCTGGCAGAATTTTTGGCTGTCTCGAAGAGATCCCAACTTCGACATCTATTTCATTGTAGGTATTGTCTTTTATTTCACTTTTTTTTCTCATTTCACGCTATGGTGGTTACGAACAGCGGCAGTGGCGGCGAACAATCACGCTACCTTTGTTGTGATTTTACACTATCTTTCTGGGTAAAAAAAAAAGCGTAGCTGCACACAGCGCAATGTGATCGCTGCCGTTACCATTCTAACGACTAGCTGACTTATGCAAAACATTGTAACTGGAGCATTCTCGTAACAAGGCGTGATGTCCCAGCTTTGCGATACAGTTAAAAGGACGAAGGTGCCCGTGTTTGCGATCCATGCTTCTCGTTTGGCACTACACAATAAAGTATCCTACCCACAACAGTGTAGAGCACTGGTATTACTACAACAGAGAGGTTCACTAGCATTGCCAATTATAGGCTATTGCTCTTCTTAAGAATTGCTCTAGAAAACAAGCGACTTCTTTTCCAATCCACACGGAATAATTAATTCATTTTCGTTTTTTGAACGTCATATAGTGACCGATTTCGTAGTAGCTTTCATTAGGTCTTTGTCATGCAATCGTGAGTTTTTTGACGATTTAAAAAAAGGTAGAAAAAACCCACATCATAAGAAATGTAAACAACATGACTGAATATTTTTACCTAAATGAAAGAAAAAAAAATTACGCATCTTCACGAAGTGAACAATGACAACTGGGCAAAGCTCCGAGTATCGCATCAGTGAGTAACCCCAGATCCTAGCCTTGCCTCATATAATGTAAATTTATTGCGCTTGCCAGTCATGTTAGGCAATTCAAGTGGGACTTGGAAAATTGCTTCAGTGGAGGATATGCCTCTAAATCGAACCCGGTAACCTTTCATCTAACCTGTGGCAAAATAGCGTTTGAATACGAGTGATTTTTTCGGACATATAGTTCTTAACGTTTGCCATTGTGTCACAGGATTCTTTGAGAAGCCCCAACATTTAGGCACATTTTAATAAATATCAACTCGTCAGTACACTTCTCGATAGGTTATCTTCGTGGGACAGGAACCTTATAATTAGGCGATGTCTACGTTGAAGTCTATTGTATAACTATTTTTGTGCTTCAGCTATGTTAGAATTATAGCAACTGTTCTATATTGTAACAACAACAGAAGGCAATGCTAAGTCCTAAGGAGCTTCAGCATTAAGAAATTAGGTATGATGTAGTCCCCCATTTTAATAATATTGCGTGTGTGTCACTCTAAGTACGAAATAATTTGCACAGTATTGTCACCGTTGGCATTGCACAGTATATAAAATGACCACATTTAAGGGGTTTTTATTTTTGATATGGCGGAACTTCGTTGTTACTAAAGCTAATGCTCGGTGATCGTTTTCAGCCTAAGCCATGCTGAGCGGCTTCCGCGGTGCTAACGTTCCTCTTTCGTTAGTGTGTGTCATCATGCAGTACTTGACTGCATGACTCCTATATATTAATGCAATGTCTCCCAAGGGTGGGGAAAACTGAATACGGTTCTTTTGTATCGGGTAAGTGGCATAGATCTATGGCGTATTGGTTGCGCATCCAGCTTCTAGGACAAAGAAGTCGGGAGCTCGATCCAACTATCAAGTGCCCCATCCAAAGCTTTCTTCTATATGGCTATTTCTATGGGGGACCTGATTTGATTGATATTTGGGGTTTGACGCCCCAAAATCACCATATGATTATGGAGAGACGCCATAGTCGAGGGCTCCGGAAATTTCGACCACCTGGGGTTCTTGAACGTGCACCCAAATCTGAGCACACGAGCCCAAAACATTTCCGTCTGCATTGGAAATGCAGCCGCAGCAGCCGGGATTTGATCCCCCGACCTGCGAGTCAGCAGTAGGGTATTTTGGCCACTAGACCACGGCGGCGGGGCTATTGGAGACCTGTCTGAGTGCTTGCTTACCTATGTCAACAACGTCCGGCATGTCTTTCTGCACCATGACAAAGAAATTTGTGTGTTAACGAAAATTCCGGGCAGGGCTCCCTAGAGACGGTTTATTAAAGAATCAATGGACAGAAACTCCTGAGGTGGTACACCTGTGACGCACAGGGAAAGTTTGCATCGGCCCTGCTTGAGAAATCTGGTCCTAGCTCACAATAGTACCGGGGGGAGGTAGTTGAGAAGCATATAACCTGCGTGTACAAAACGGTAGGCTGATACAATTTCAGCATGGTTTGGCATAGTCTTTATATGTAATCTTGATTTGTGCTTATTTGCATTCGCATTCAGATCATTGTCATTTCCATTTTTATTTCATCTGCCATATTTGAAAAAGGCTCCGAGCACGGAGTCCTATCAGACATACTAAAACACCTTATTAAATCAAATACCTCAACTACTGCTCAACAAAAGTTGTGCTTTTAGACTTTGAAAGTAATAAAAAATTGTCTAAAGAAAATATTAAAAATGGACTTCCTCTCTTGTACTGTGCCATTTTAAATTTTTATTATATGTACTTCAATGATTTTTTGTACTTTCTTTTCGTAATCTATTGCACTTTATTTTCGGACTTATCTTCCAGGTTTCTGTACTTTACATATTTTTCTGATCTGACAGTGGGCTAATTGGAGCAGGCTGTAACGTAAAATTAACATGTATCTTTCAGTTAAGCTTTCTACGTTTTGTATTTGCTTTAATGTTCCTAAATAAAAGTATAAAATTTATATTTTTTGTATCATTACATCTTAGGAAATGTACGAGTAGAGTAACCACAGCAACGCAGAGGTAGTCTGGCTTAAGTCTTTTCAACGTATGCAATTTTCTTTTTGTCTAAAAAAGTGAAATGAAATCAAATAATTATTGACAACTATAATTGTATACTACTGCCCACAACAACGCGCTTTAAATGTTGGTATATAAAACCTGAATGTTAGTCGTCTCAACCTCGAATAAGTATCGCATTAGCCAAAAAAGATTCGGATGCAGAAAGCTTTTCGCGTAGCATTGCACACTGACCTCGAGGCTTCCCCTGGCACAGAAGAGAGTCAATATGCAGATGTTTGGTGGGTCAACGCAAGCGCCAATGAAGGGAGTGATGTTCTCATGCCTCATCTCTCGCACCTGCATGTATAAAAACAAGTAACGTTTAAAACAAAATAACAAAGCAACTTCTGGAGAGCTGAAAAATCAAGCTAACTGTACTTATTCGGCCGTAGTATAAGATTGAAAGCTGAGCGCGGTGGTGATAGTATATAATCAAACACAGAACGACGACTATGTGGACAAAGAGAAAAGAAAACAATCCTCAGCGCTGATTCGCTACTGCATGTTTATTGAAACAAAATGAGAGAAAAAACTACTACAACCCTCACACCGATATGACTATATATGAGCAGAAACTAACAGCAAAATCAGCCAGCCAGCTTTTATCTTGAACGTGAAACAAACAGGACCACCTACCACGTGCACTCTTAAAGACAGGAAGTATTAGGACTCTGTACTCAATAAAAAAAACTGCCAGATCCCACGTAGAGTGGGAATCGATGATATGCGAAGCAAAAATCAGAAATATTGATATATGTCACATTTAAATCAGAACGTCACGAGGTGGTGGTAAATGATGCCGTACATGACTTACGTGTCATGATTATCATGTTTGGATGTGTTGTTTAACTTTGTCATTCATTGACGCCAAGTAACACCAAGTTTGGCATATATGGAGCTAGCAAAATAGCCGCGAGCGCATCATGAAGGGTTCAATATGCTCTAATGTAGCGTTGACGTGTGCGCACGCTGGGCACAGCGACGCTGCGTTAGCAAAACGCGAGCACTTATAGTCTGACGCCAGGCGCGACTAGCGTCCGTCGACGCGGCCCAACGGCAACCAGCGTGAAAATGCGACATGCTGCATTTCGCGCCGATGTATTACCCAGACAACACTGCGTCTCCCTCTTTTCGTGACGGAGGGACGCCGGACGCACTGACACGCGCATGCGTCAAAGCCACGCAGCGCTGCGCGCGCCTGCGAGTATATGGCAGGACCGGCGCCTGGAGTGGCAAAACGCCGGCGGTACGCGACGAAATGAACGCCGGCGAGCACGCGCTCCGCGTCACGTCGAAATGTATTGGCGCCTTGACTGTGGCATGTAGTCATGTTCTCACATGACACACATCTCATAATTATCATGTCTGCACCAGCCACATACATTCGTCATCCATTGGCGTTACGTAATACCAAATTTGGCATATCTGAAGCTAGCGAAACGGCCGCAAACGCATCTTTAGTGTGGCATGTAGTCATGTTGTTACATGACACGCATGTCGTGATTACCATGATTGGATGTGTCATTTTTCTATGTCGTTCATTCACGTACCGTAGTACAAAATTCGGTGTAAGTGAACATAGCGAAACGGCCCCTAGCACATCATGAGCGTGGCATGTATTCTTGTTATTGCATGACACGCATCTCATGATTATCATGTTTGCACCAGTCACATACCTTCGTCATGAATTCACGTAACGTAATACCGAGTTTGATATATGTGACGCTAGCGAAACGTCTGCAAGCGCGTCATGAGCGTGGAACGTAGTCATGTTATTACATGACACGCATGTCATGATTTTCATGTTAGGGTGTGTCGCTTGTGTTTGCGCAATCATGTCATACCATACCAGTTTTGCAACATGCCATGTGAACGAAACATCCGCAAGAGCTGCAGGACCTTAAAATGTAAATCCTGACATTTATGACATACATATCATGAATTTCATGTTATGACAAATCAAATGTGTTCTTCATAAAGGCATGGTATGCCATACAAAGTTTGGTATTGCTACCATTATCGAAACGGCCAGGAGAGCAAAAAGTCCTAGGTGGCTGGATAGATAGATAGATAGATAGATAGATAGATAGATAGATAGATAGATAGATAGATAGATAGATAGATAGATAGATAGATAGATAGATAGATAGATAGATAGATAGATAGATAGATAGATAGATAGATACGCTCAAAGTCACTGAAGTTCGCTAAGAAATTCTTCGAATTTAAATTGCGAACGCACTATTATGTAGGGTACTGCAACATACGCTACTACACTGCTCGCCACCTTTTGTGATGTCATTAACCTCAATTATTGGTCGTGTGGTTTCATCTCCATGGGCTCGCAACGCCTCAGCTTGATGAAACACAAGTGAGTAATGCATGGCACAGTGCAACGTGTTGGGACACATGTCAGTCTGAATTGCCTTGCTGAAGTAGCCTGTGGTCGAATAGTCTGATGTTTTACTGCGAAAGCTGTGAAGAGATCGCAATTATTATTATTGTAAAGAAGAGGAAGTGAATTATTATTATTATTATTATTATTATTATTATTATTATTATTATTATTATTATTATATTATTATTATTATTATTATTATTATTATTATTATTATTATTATTATTATTATTATTATTATTATTATTATTATTATTATAAAGTGCCATATGTAACGCGTCGAGAAAAAAAGCGTTTTATAGTACCTCGGTTTTTTAACAGATATGGGGAATCATGTAGAAGTGTATAAATTCCACAAAAATCAATTCACTACGTGAAGAATTTTTTTCAGCGAGTTCAAAAAAGCAATCAAAGAAAATACTCGCTGAGCTGTAAAATCAAATAGTCTACTTGAATATCACGTATGCTCTGGGTTCCTCCTTTGTTCTTCTTTTTTTATTTGCTGCCTGTAAAAAGCAATGGTGTCAATCAGTAGTCCTTTCATTGGCAAAGAAGCAACAATGGTTTTGTTACCTTGTGTACACATCGCTGTAACCGGCTCTGGCGGGCCTAGTCGCACAAGTCCTTGGGACTTTGACAAGCCCGTTTCTTTGTATTTTATAAGATGTGTACAATGAAGTATTATTATGATTATCATTATTATTAGTATTATCATTATTATTATCATAATTATTATTAATAATAGTAGTAGTATAAAGTAAGGTATTTATCTTTCATTTCGAGGTTTCTGGCACTCAAATCTGCAAGTAGGTGTATATCTGATAGACTGTTGAACAATTCGAAACATACTGGTGAATTCAGTGTCTACTAATGCAAAGTTTAGTTCCTAATAAATGCCAATATTTCAAAAACGTGGGCAGCAATGCAGTAACGCTATCATTATGTTTATGCTTTTTTATTTGAATAGGCTGTACGGTCATTACAACACTAGCCACGTATCTTAGTGTGGTCGAGCGTCGAGTCTGAATGCTACATGTGACGGTAGCGCAGTGGATACTGATGTACGGGACATATTTGAGATGAATGACCCCGTCTCTAAACGACAGCTTGTGAATTATAGAGCCCCTGGTAAAAAGGTTCCGTCATTTATTCGTATCTAACACCTAACTGGTGGCCTCAGAATGTTGTAAACAAAATGAAATTCCCTTAGAGGAAATAGGTCATGATTTTTTATGTAATAAAATAAAACGAGAAGCGCTATAACCTTTCGCAAATATCGTGACCCCTAATCGCAAAAAAATAGCTCACGTGTCATTAGTGCAAAATTGTTATGCAGAACATGCTACTTTCTGAAAACTACAAAATACGACTTAGTTTGACCGACATAAAAAAATAAGTCGGGACAGTGTGGTTCCCAATGGCGTCTTTCTCTCTGATAAATAAGGAATGTCAACTGCTGTCGTATAAGCAAACCTGTATGAGTTCCTTGCGTATGCTGCGTGTTAGGTCGACGCTTTTCTTGTAGACGTGCTTGATGTGAACAACGTTCCCCTTGTAGAAACCGACGCGGCCGCGCCCTGCGGCCACCGTTGGAGTCTCGGTATCCGGAACTGTGTTCGCTGACCAAACCCAGGGAGCGGCACTCTGCAGCCTCCTCCGCAGTTTGAGCAAATGCTGCTCGTCCGGGAACGCAAAACCAAGGCGTGTGGTCTCCAGCATGCCACGCTGTCACCAGAAACCAGAGCACAGAGGATGTGTGAACGAGTGTGTAGAGAGTTGTCAGGCTATATAAGTGCACTATGTAGCAAAGTTTCTGATCTAACTTATTTGATATGTGGGATTTAACGTCCCAAAACCACCATATATTTATGAGAGACACCGTAGTGGAAGGCTCCAGCAACTTCGACCACCTGGGGTTCTTTAACGTGCACCCGAAACTGAACACACGGGCCTACAAAATTCCCGCCTCTATCGAAAACGCAGCCGCCGCAGCCGGTATTCGATCCCGCGACTTGCGGGTCAGCAGCCCAGTACCTTGGCCACTAGACCACCGGGGCAGAGTGCACTCACTTCCTGCTAGCCTGTCTGATGCCTACTGAGAAGGCGATGCTCTAACGCACATGCTACTTCGAAGAAAAGAATATGATAACAAATTGTGGCTCCAACATCAATCAGTGAGCGCCCGCATGCGTTCTTTTTTTTGCCACTCTACACTGACAAAGTGCAAGCGTTAAGGGTATTGCATGAAATTGCAGCAATGTTGGGCGCCGAAATCCTTGCTTGACACGTGCCACATAGGATCCTATTTATGAGGAGTAACTCGTTACGCATCTCATTGTAGCATTGCGGTGTGCTTCAAAAATTTTTCATATGCTAGCCAAAGCGCCATCAATATATGTTTATTGAAATAAAAAATAAACAAACGAGGTGTAGTCGTCAGAACTTTGCAACGACTACCCTTTTTTACTTGACAGTTTCAAAATAGTAACCGAGAAACAAAATAGCATATACACATATATACTGTCCTATATCAGTAGGTCGAAAAGTTCTCGTTTGGCCAGAACAAGCACACAGCCACAGTGCACACTTTCAACTCGATGCGCATAGCGAGCTAAATTGTTATTTCATTTCTAATATGAAAGAGCACATCACTAACATAACTTAGTTCATCATATACATATTTCCAATCAACAAAAACGTTGAATACAATGTGATAATATAACCAACAACAGTAATGATATGTGGGGTTTAACGTCCCAAAACCACCATTTGATTATGAGAGACGCCGTAGTGGAGGGCTCCGGAAATTTCGACCACCAGGTGTTCTTTAACGAGCACCCAAATCTGAGCACACGGGCCTACAACATTTCCGCCTCCATCGGAAATGCAGCCGCCGCAGCCGGGATCCGAAAACCAACAACAGTAAACTCGCAATATATGTATACGTTGCACTTCAGCTAAAGTAGGCTTCGATTAAAAAATAAAATTAAAAATGTTCTCGCAAAGAAGAGAGTTCAAAGAGCAGGTGTGACAATATATATTATGTACAATCTCCTGAACAATCGAATCATACAAAACGAAAGTCTATTTTTCAGTCTATCAAAAAAAAATATATTATTTTGAAACAGGTTGACTAGTTTACAGCCTCAAATGAAAATTGCAGGAAAAATAAATACAAAGAGAAAATCGGGAGAGGCACATCACTTGTAGCGCACCACCACTACGTATACATAATGTAGTTGCGACTTAACAGCATATTGAAAGTGATCAATTACACTGTGTAGAAATCAAACATGATAGCGTAATTGTCATCGAGAAACAAACTATAAGGTACATATAACGATACATGAAAATACATGCACTGCAGCTATTTACATCACAGATCATTATATCAGGAGTACCTATGCGCGATGAAAGAGGAAACCCGTATATAAGAGTTATTTTGTGACTAAAAGAAAAAAAAAGTATATAACTGACTGTGCATATATATGAAAAATCATGTGTAACAAACTTGCAAATTCATAGATTTTGTGCAAAGAACAACTGAATAAATCAAAACCTCTCCGGTCAAAGTGGTATAAAAGAGCTGGAAGAGTGTAAGATAAATGCTGTTTGCCTGAGTTTAACCGTGTGATGTCAACCTCTGATTTCCCTCCATCATGGATGAGGTACTTTTGATTGCTTGCACGCAGGTTGGCTAGAATGCCGACATTTTTCATGTGGCTGAGAGTCTCCGATCTGAATTTTCGGCTTAATTCATAACTATATAGCTGGGGCAGCCTAATTATTTTTAGATACATATTAAGGGTCTGGTGAATGACACAAAATGAGCAAAAAATATATGATTATTAGACTTAACAAGAAGGGAAATGTGGGCTAGTTTGTAATAGTTCATTTTTTCGATAACTCACAGCGTAAGAAGGACGAAGACGCAGCAAAAGAATAAGTCAACACGAGCACTCACTCTCAACTAAAGTTCATTAAAAGGGCCGTGTTGTCTTATCCTTCGTCTTCGTGCTTCTTGCGCTGTGAGTTATCGAAAAATGCCTAATAAATTTTTTCTGAAGCATGTAGAGTTTTCATTATTAGTAGCCGTCGTCGTACCCCATACCAACTGACAATAGTTTGAAAGTGAGTTAAAAAAAGTGAATCATTTAGCGAAAGCTTAATTTTTTGGAAGCAAATACCAAAGTCGACCAATTACACCTGTTACCTGAAATAAATTTTGCAAGACATATTTCACATGATAATCTCAGGTCATGTTCTCTGAAGAAATTGTGCCAAGACATGTCTAAATTTTACGAGTCCGCAGTATTATATCATAATAATATAGAATAATTTTGTTCTTATTTCAAAATTTAACAACTTTGGGACCCGTACACTAAAAAAGACATTAACAAACTTGAACAAATTCAGAGGCTGGCTGTACGGTTCATATATAATCGTTACCGCCGACATGACTCGCCTACCTCTTTAATGCAAACAAACAACATCATGACCTTACAGAGCCGCCGTAAAATAACAAGACTAAAATTTCTTTATCAGCTTTGGAACCGTAAACTTGCAGTCGACCCCGCTCTTTATCTAAACCTTTTGCCCCATAGACCCACCAGGAACTTTCACCCTTTTAAATTTAACTGGATTTTTGCACGCACAAACAAATTCAAACATTCCTTCTTCCCGCGCACCATAAGTGATTGGAATGCCTTACCATCTGAAACCTTTTTATCAAATAATGTTCTTCAGTTGTTTAACCAGCTCGCAGAATAAATTTGTAACGGTGCCTTTATCCTGTGATTGGTTTCCCATATCTAGTTGTGTAAAATCTGAGCTACGCTACTGTTATGATCATTGCTGCCTTGCTTCGTTTTTTTTTCTTTTTTTTCTGTTTTGGTTTTTACCTTCTTATGTGCCATATGCCTGAAATATGCACTGATTAGTCCTCTCCTGTTGTCTGGTGTTTTCTTCGATTGTTCATTGCTTATTTCTTCTTGCTCTCAATTTGTATTTCTTTTTTTTGTTTGTTTAAATCTGGTTTTCATCTTTGATATACAAACAAACCACTCCTGCTTGGGCCGCCCTAGGCCTGCAGTATTGTATAAATAAAAATATAAATAAAAATAAAATAAATAAAACATTTGTTTTCTTTTCGTTAATACGCGTTTCGTTTGCTGTTGTCCATCTTTCTAGCGTTATCATTGCTGTGTTGCAAGTTTTTAAAAGGTAGTTAGTGTCGTGACTTCAAAAGAATATACTAGAATCACCGGCATATATGATATGTTTGGCCCCTTGTAGGAATATTTATAGTATGGTTAAGATACATGTTAAATGATAGTTGTCCCCATATGCTGCCTTGCGGCACTTCACAAAGTACAGGCTGCATACTCGAGAAAGAGTTGTTTATGGTACAACTTGTCGTCTACTGCATAGGTATGAGCCCATATGCGATAGAGCCTGGCCTTGAATACCATAGCTGTGTAATTTGTTTAGCAGTATTTTATGATTAGCTAAATCAAAGGCCTTGGAAAAGTCAACAAAAAGGCCAAGAACGAGGTTCCATAACGTTATTTTAGCGTTACTTATCACAACTTTACTACACCTAAAGAATCAAAACACTCAAGAGTCACGCTAGAGCTAGAAAAGTTGTCAGCAGACCCAACCACTCAGTTTCATTTGATAAACTAAAATGAATAAGCATATGAGCATTCCTCTGGGTAACAACGGTTTCTTCAAGCAAAAAAAAATACAGTGACCACTTTCATTCTCAACTGAGAAGAAAGGATTTTGCGCTCAGTAATAAAAATGGCAAAATACACGTGAACAGAGTAAGTATTATTACATGTCGCGCGCAAAAAAAAAAAACGGGAGGTTAGCCGTTAGCAATAGGGTTCGATTATCGTATAATGTTCAATTAGTTACTGCCATGTGCTAGTGCTCCCGTGAGGGGAGTACTTTACGTTGAATTCAGCGTCATGCTTGAAACATTGCTTTGATATGCACCGGCAACTCACGTTTGTGTTCTGGAAGCTAAGCTCGGAGTTGGTGCGCAGCACGACCACTTCGTCCATGTCCACTTTCCACAAGAGGCGGGCCAACTTGTACTCGTAATGGTAGTGCCTGCACGAAAAATCACATAGTAAAATGGAACAGAATGAGAACGGCACTTTGAAAACGGATAGCTTTAATATTGTCTACACTTCCTTTCTTTAATGAAGTGCACGCCTTCAATATAACTAAAACTTTTTATACCCCTAATTACAATGAAATCACGCCAAAAGAGTCATGGCGAATTGCAGCTTTTGTAGAAGCAAAAAGTCACAATACCACAACCTCCTACTTTCAACTAAGAGTTTAGTTTCCAGTAGTTCTTAGTAGGCATTTGTGTTGTCATGACTTACTTCTTGCTTTCGTATTTTGAGGCCCAATTTGCTGCGGAATAATTGTAGCTCTCCCTAATTCTAAGCTTCATGGCGAATATATATGAAACCACACTGCAGATAGGCATTATCTCGGCACAAGACAAGTCAAACGTCCAAATGCTTTCTAGAGCACAGCTTACAGTTATGCAGCGACAGTTGCCTCTGGGTGACTCTGCATACTTTCTACAGTAAGATTATCGCAATAAATATTATAGAAATACAAACAACTTTACAGTTGATCTTGCGCTTAAATTTAAGCCACCGATGGTAACGCTGTTTCTCAAGCGTCAAGATGATGTGTTTATTTGTATTTGAAAAAAGAGGCAAGAAGTTCGCGTTTTATACAATCTTGACATTTTGATTTTCCAACATAATTCTTGCTTTTTTATGGACGGATTATTTGTATGTATGAATATTTTGACCCATATTGTAACAAGAAAGGCTTCTTATTACAAAATTTTCTTACCCGAAGTTCACTCTAAGTGATAGTGGGGCTTCTAGGGATGAACACTGGTAATCATTTTGGTCCTCATTAAGCAGCATGATTGTTTGGTTACTTGCAGTAAACGTTGGATCTTCAACTTATGACGCAGGTGTTCGGAATCGCTCTACGAATACTAGCAATTATAGTGAATACTAGCAATTGTGATTTATAGCAAATTATAAACAGGTTCTCTTTCAGTCATGGTGTGTACAAATGGAGACGCCAGCTTTAATGGCACGTTACGCACCACGTGTTTTGTCAAATGGCTCAAAACTTGGTAAACACAATTGTGCAGGCCTCCTCAGTGCATCAGTGGTGATCAATTAAGCTTATTGTGGTGCGTATAGTTGCAGAGAATCAATTCTCTGGATGCGCTACCATGTTTGACGATTGTTTGGCATGAGGCATTCCAAGGGCACCGTAAAAAGTATTTTTTTAAGCGAAGCATTTCTTAGCGAACTTCGGTGACTTTGAGCGTACCTATCTATCTATCTATCTATCTATCTATCTATCTATCTATCTATCTATCTATCTATCTATCCATGTTTAGGTGCTCGCGTGGTGACCCCATTTACTTGGCGTCAACCAAAATTAACATGAAAAGGTAAGACGGTTTGACGAATACGACGTGCTTCTCAATACATAAATAATGTGACAATCATGTCGCGTACGTCGTCAAACACGTCCCATCACACAGTGGCACATACCCACGGGCGGGTATGTGCCACTGGTATGTGCCACAGGTGATTAACGCTTGGTATCTACCCAGGAACGACGAGAACCCCCACGGGCAACTTTAACGCGCGAGTGTTTAGAAATACGGGCGACGTCGGTAGCGTCGACACGACTAGTCCCAGCTGGAATCGAACCCAAGCATTCAGGGTGCCCATGAAGCATTTTACCACAAAGCTACGCCGTGTCTCGGAACTTCTTTTGAATAGACGCTAATCTTCGTGAAACGCTATAATTGGTTGGAGTGCTGCCTACCCAATTTTATAAACATTACACGTGCAGTATTTTGATACAGACACCACGTGGGGTTAACGTCAGATGTGGTCAGTTGCCATGCGCTGAGGTCGGTTTATGCAGCAGTGTCCGGGGCCAGAATCTTCGCGAGCATCAGCGCTTTATATCGGCCTCTGGTGTTGCTAATGCGCATGTTCCAGTTGACATTGTTGTGCAAGTGGAAACTACTGGTTATAAAAACATCTGGAACTCTTCAGCATATGTATGAGCGTGCACCATTTGTACATGTGTTTAGAGTCATTTCATAACATGTCGCTCAACAACAAAAAAATTGCAACATGGTTACCTTTCCTCCGCATGCTTCGCATAACGTGGATGCCCAGGTACATAGGATCCGTCGATTTTTTTTTTTCGATGGAAACAAAAACAACCAAATAACAACTGTGCATGCTCTTTGGGTCTAATAGCGCAATATTTTTATGCAAATACTGCTGTTTGATGGCAGAATAATCAGATAGTTAGTTGAACATTCATTGCATTTAATTACTAGAACTCACACGAAGCAACAATTGTTTTTTTCTGTTTGATTACTTAAAATGTATTACTGAGTGCCTTGAAATTATGCCAAGCGAATTTCATGCGTTTCTGACACCGCATCGTAATTCGTGACTGAAGGGGATACAGGCTTTGTAAAAAGATAACCTCATTTCTGGCAAGAGCCCAATTCTTCTTGACGATATTAGAAGAAAAGGACAAAATTTCCAAATTAAGTTTACTGAAGCTTTTTGTAGCATCGTAAACCTGAAAAATGAACGTGATTTTTTTTTAGTGTTTTACAAGGTTGAGCAGTTACACAGAAATAATACGTGCATTCATTGATCCCACACTAAGGATTGCTGGTGCATTTTTGTCTCCTTCCCCAACTTCAGGCCACCTTGCTGTTTTGGTAATATAAACGTTCGCAACCGAAATTGCCGTTGCGAAACCTATTGGCATCGTAGTGAAAACTACTATGCAAATCTTGACAAGATAATCTTGCTCAATTCTCAATTTCTGCAAAGATAACGCCACGATCTAATCACACAGCTGTTATAGCCTATGGTATAATGCACATTATAAATACGGGCGACACAGAGAGTAATAGACAAACAGAGGGTTCTGTTTGTAAAGCTGTACGTTCTCTACCATCCTTGTTTGTCGTGTGTTGCCATAAGCTTTCAGCACGGACGAGTCTGCTTACCAGTGCGTCCTAAATTTAGAATCTTTCTCAACATTTCCACCGAAGCAGAGTCAAAAACGTGGCATAAAGTCGATGATAGGGAGCAATATACTTGCGCTTATCTGGAATGAGTTCTCGTGATAATGCCAACCTCCCCCCCAATTTGTTTACGCTGCGTGTTATTCATTGATGATTGATAGTTTTTCCTATCCAAAGCAAACGTATAGAAGTCACTCTGTTTCTCCAGTACTTTAAATACTTATTAACCCTACGCATGCTTTGAAGATGACAGGGCGAATATTCACAACTTGTATATCTTAAAAAGACTAGACACCTGATGACCACTCACTCTGTGTTAAGTGTGTTACATGTAATATACATTGACGTTTATTGTAGGTAATATTATTTGTAATATTACTTATATTACCATAAATATTATTACTTCAAATATTATATGTTATAAGAGTCAAGTAAATACTTTTTATGGGACTCTTGTCCACGGAGAAAAATGCAGCTGCAAATAAAACACAACCATACATACACACACCTAAATTGTGCAGCTACACTTTCTTCATAAGCAAAAAATGCCCCTGTAGATGTAAGTAAAAAAAACAATCAAGTGTGCATAGTCTTAACAGTTTCCACAGGGCGTTATGAACAAACTGAAAAATAACACATAGTAAGTGTGGTAATATATTTACACGTGGCGGTACGAGCCTTCGTGATAATTTTCTGTATCATCGATTCTACCAATCGGCTCTTTCTTTTCGAAGAGACAGAATAAAGAAGACTACTGATCATTGTTGATAACTGTTTTTTACTTAGCTAGGAAACATGGTGTCTCATTGTTCTTTCTTTTTTTTGCATGCTGCACCTGCGCGGATGTGTTCATTATGTCAGCAAACCGAACACGTGATCTTAGTCTCGACGACATAAGAGTCAAGTCACACATCTGTCGCGGTATGTGGTATGGCACACCCACCTGAAGGCGAAGACACCCAACACGAGAACGACACAGGCGCAGGTGATGCAGATTACAAGGACTCGCCAGTCTGGAAGAAAATAAAAAAAAATTAGGTGATGAACATCTACACAAGCAAAAGCCATACATGAGCAATAACAACTAGGACTTGATCATGTAAAGCAAAATGGTTTAATAGATTCACGAGCTTGGTTCACCTGTACACGTCCATAGTCATGAAAAAAATTCCAGTACGGAATCTGCAACGTGTAAAAACAGACTTAGCACAAAATTTCTGCGATACATGTAATCAACAGTGTCAGAGCCCATTACTGAGCACCATGTTGTCAATGTTTCGGAATTTCTCTCATATGGCGTGTCTAGTAAACATATTATTGTTGTCGTACACAAAACCACAGATAATATAGCACACATAACAAGTAAAAAATGAGTACGGCGATTTTTTTTTTGCTGAATATTCTATGGTCAATGATCGTATATAGCTCCTATAGTCACACAAGGAGGCATAATTCTGATACTACCAAAATTTCCACTCCTGAATCTTTACCTTCCACAGCTTTTTTTTTTCAGAATAACCAAGAGATTCCAAACTTGTTAAACAGCTTGAACTCAAATACCTGTGTAAGTTAACTAATATTCAATACTTGTTATTTTGTTAGCAGGCCCACGCCTTCCGCTCATGCCAATACCTGTGACAGAAATCGACGCTTTCACTTTCTATATCCTGCACCTATAGCTCATTGTTGCTGTTTCGCACTGGCGCTCTTCTCTACGGTCGGACACTAAGAGCGCCTAGCAGACACAGGGCACCTTGAACGATTGATTTGTGGGGTTTAACGTCCCGAAACCACTATATGATTATGAGAGACGCCGTAGTGTGGGGCTCCGGAAATTTTGACCACCTGGGGTTCTTTAACGTGCACCCAAATCTGAGCACACGGGCCTACGACATTTTCGCCTCCATCAGAAATGCAGCCGCCGCAGCCGGGATGAGATCCCGCGACCTGCGCGTACAAGGCACCTTCGAATAAATATAATAATGGCATATTTCACCAGCACAATTATTTTGTTTGTTCACGTTCCTTTTGAATTGGATTGGTGTCCAGCCCGGTACTACCCTGTTCGTTGCAGGATGCGTTCAGCCGCCTATTACAGTCTTTGGGAGTTCGATCAAACAGCGCCAGAGACGACACTGTAAGGTATGAGCATACTAAGCACTAATCTAGCATATGCTGCTTTATTGCAGGCAATTTCACTGTGCGCAAGCTCTGCCAACAAGCAAATGTAAACCGCATCTGCGAAAAGACAGAATGAAGACCAACTCATCACTTGAGCTGATGCTGGGCTATCTGTTCTTGTTACTTTTCCCGTGAGGCGTTTCAGTGTAGATTGCCATTGTGTGCAATAAACCAGTGGTTGTTAGTTCAGCGCACGTGGTCTCTATTTTTTTTTCATCCCGTTTTTAGCGCTGTTTCCTCCAGTCCCAACAACATACCAATCAGCCCAGTCAGGCGCACTTCTGGCTCATAGTAGTTGGAGGGCACGGTAAATATTTGATTGATTGATTGATTGATTGATTGATTATTATATTTGCAGGTACACTTTATGGTATGCAGCTACGGTGCGTATGTTAAAGTCTACCTATAAATATATTAATCTGTCTTAGTGCAGGCGCAAGCAAAGTAGAACAATAAAAATGCTATTGAAGAAAGCACCTCGGAGATATGGAAGCCATGTTATAAACATTGGCTTGCATATTTCGCTCAAATCAGTGCTTCATTTGAAAAAATAAAAATATCTTCTATGAATGTACATACGAAACTTCTATGAATGTACACACGAGATTTTTGTTTTGCGTGCGTGAACTTTTGTGCTTCAGCTGCTGCGCATGTCTCCAGAAAACACTAGTCTGCTTTTTTTTGCTTTTTTTCACTCCCTCACTTGGTCCTTTTCGATGTGGCAACCGGAGCCACTATAGCCTTTCAGAATATGTTGGCAAATGTTGCTCTCCTGCCACAAAGTACAACGTAACCTACAAAATGGCATGGTCAAAATGACATCTTTGGACGAGGGAGGCCATGCTAGCAGCAATACGTTGAAGAACTCTACCACCATTCCAACGGCAATGTTCCACTTCACAAGGCTGCTATGAAGGTCACAGCGCCGGGAGCGCTTAGCAATTGTATAATACCGTATACTCACCTTGCTTCGACGTGCACTTGTCGTTTTTAAAGCCACACTTGGGCTCTCCGACAGGTGGGGCACCGCCTAACCACGCAATGTCCTTGTCAAGCCGAAACACCTGCGCAATGCAAATACGAAAATTGGTTGTTTATTAGTTATTCACTATCTTCTAAAAGTATGCTGGTTCCCATAGCGGTTCTTGTGATCCCATTTGTGTTGTTCTTCTCAAAGCGAAACATTAAGTATGCTATTTTGCGTATATATGTGCTTATAAGTGTACGTATAAGTTTGTTTACATCATTGTATATAAAATGGTCATCACAGCACACCTGCAGTTCCAAGTCGGGTACATAAACCCGACCAGATGTGTATGCAGAACATTTTTAATTGCGAAGCATATCTCTGTGTCCTGCAAGCACTTTTGTCATCTATCTATCTATCTATCTATCTATCTATCTATCTATCTATCTATCTATCTATCTATCTATCTATCTATCTATCTATCTATCTGTCTATCTATCTATCTATCTATTTATTTCTATCTATCTATCTATCTATCTATCTATCTATCTGTCTATCTATCTATCTATCTATCTATCTATCTATCTATCTATCTAGCCACCTACGGCTGGGCGTGGTCGTTCTCACCCCCTAACTTACCAACGCATCGTTAAGGCCAACACACGTAAGGGAGACGGGAAGTTGCGTGGAACGATGAGAACGAAAAATTGGCAAATCCTATGTACAGTAGGAATTGATGATATGCGAAGAAGGAATGACGAAGGTCGATATGTCCATTTAAAATCAGCAAAACGTTAGGAGGTGCACATATTTACATCTTTTTGACGTGTCATTTACCTTTGCCGTCTGTCCAGGTCATGTGATACAAAATTGGATAGACGTGGACCTAGAAAAACAGCCCTGAGCATACTATGGGCACACAATTTAGCCATGTTTTACTTGATACGGATATCATGATTATCATGTTTAGGCGTCGTCCATTCACGTCACGTAATACCAAGTTTGATATAGGTGAAGCTAGCGAAGCAGCCGCGAGCGCATCATGAGCGTAGTGTGTGGTCTTGTTATTACATGACACGCATACCATGATTATCATGTTTGCACCACTCATATACCTTTATCATTCATTGACGTCACGTAACAGTAAATTTGGTATATATGAAGCTAGGGAAACGACCGCGAGCGCACTATGAGCGTAGCATGTAGTCCTGTTTTTACAAGACACGCGTCTCACGATTATCATAATTGCACCACTCATACACACTAGTCATCCATTCACGTCCCGTAATAATAAATTCGGTATATTTGAAGCTAGGAAAACGAGCGCAAGGGCACCATAAGCGTGACTTGTAGTGATGACTTTTGACTTACATGACATGCACGTCATGATTTCCACGTTAGGGTCTGTAAGTTACGTTCGTCATGCAGTCGTGTCATACAATATCAGTTTTGCGATATGTCGTGTGAACAAAACAACCACAACAGCAGCAAGACCATGAAACGTAAATTATGACATTCATGGCATTCTTGTCCGGATTTTCATATGACTCATCACTTATGCTCGACAAACCGTCATGTTTATCCATACCAATTTTACCTGAAAATCATAGGTGGATAGATAGATAGATAGATAGATAGATAGATAGATAGATAGATAGATAGATAGATAGATAGATAGATAGATAGATAGATAGATAGATAGATAGATACGGTCAATGTCACTGAAATTCGCTTAGAAATGCGTCGCATTTAAATTTCGGCAGATCTCACGTACCTGGGAATTGACGTTATCCAAAGCATGCAGCGAGAAGCTGACCGTGTTGAATTTTTTTAGGGGCGAAGCTCCTTAAGGCGTGGGTCTGTCCATCCTCAGCGTATGTATGGAGCCACCTTTAGTTTGTAATAGAATCTGTTCGCTGTTGGCGCGCGCTTGGAGTTGCCCGATGGATAAGGCTACCTCTAGTTTGTTATAGAATCTTTTCGCTGTTGGCGCGCACTCGGAGTTGCCCGATGAATAAGGCCACCTCTAGTTTGTTATACAATCTTTTCGCTGTTGGCGCGCACTCGGAGTTGCCCGATGGATAAGGCCGCAGAGCGGCGAGCACGCAAGGCGGCGGTAGTGCGTGCTCGCAGACAGAATCCCGATGTGCGAGCCTGCGAGGCAGAAGCGCTCCGTGAAGCTGCGTGACGACGCCGCCAAGATCCCAGCGTTCGAGAACGAGAGGCCCAAGCGTCACGGCAACGGCGCGAGGACCCTGCCGTACGCGAAGCGGCACGGCTGCGGCGTGAAGAGGATCTCCAAAACGTCAGAGAACGGGAAGTGGCGAGAAAGCGCGCGTATCGGCAGGCAGACCTCGATGCAGTGAGAGCTCGTGAGGCGTCTGCAAAATGCATCAGCCGAGCTCAGCCCCAAGGTGCCGACGCGCGGTTTAAGCGAGACTTTGTAGACGTTACGTTCGGACACAGTTGCAGTGTGTAAGACAGATTGTGGTTCTCAAACAGTCTAGTCAAAATATCTTCCATCAAGAACGACCAGGCTCACGCCAATGCCGTCGCCGTGCTGCATCGCGGGTATATATACACACACAGTGTTTTTCTTGATGATGTCGTGGGCGAACTTTCACTGAAGAGTCACGGTTTTACCGATGATTTCGCCTCAGGAGCTTTGCCCACTCATCATCATTCACCCTGTGGATATGCTGTAATTTTTTTATTGAGCGACACGTCATGAAACGATGGTAAATATATTTCATTTCATTTATTTCATTTATTGCATTCTTAAAGGCCCGAGGGCATTACATAAGGGGGGGCAAAAAATACGCTGTGAGTGTGTATAATTCAAGTTGAACAAATTATTATAAACAGTACAGTTCTAATATGGTAATTTGGTCAAAAATGACAACAAAAATGAATCAAATAACACACAAAAGAAACGCTTTGGCTGGGAATTAGAGTACAAATAACTAGGCACAAGCAAATTATACATACAGTACATTGGTAGAATATATTTACAGCCACGGGTTAATGGGTGGAATCAAAGTGGGATTCCAATTTTGCGCGGAATGATGTGCGGTCAGGTGTGGCAACATTGGTATCGGGAAGGTGATTCCAAAGTGTTATTGCTTGGGGGAAAAAGGAGTCGTTCATTGCGGATGTACGGCCGTTGATTCGTGCTATGGGGTTTGAATGGTTAATGCGGGAAGAAGTTCTGTTTGGGGGCTGTAAAAGTTCGTGTCTTGATTGGGGTCGGAAAAAGAAACTGTGGAGGAGGCATAGGCGCGAGATGAGGCGGCGCGACGCGAGTGATGGCAGTTCAATTGATTGTTTTAGGGCGGTGACGCTGATTTCTCTGGAGTACTGTGAGGTTATAAAGCGGGCAGCGCGGTTTTTAACTGCTTCTAGTTCGCTAACGAGGTATGCCTGGGATGGATTCCAAATGGACGATGCGTATTCGAGCTTTGGCCGTACGTATGTTAAGTATGCTAGTTTTTTAACGTCAGGAGATGCTGATTTGAGGTTACGGCGCAGAAAACCAAGCGTACGCAGAGCGTCTGAGCAGATGGACTGCACGTGCGGTGCAAATGAAAGAGATGGGTACATGTGCACTCCGAGATACTTGTATGACGAAGCCGAATCGAGAGGAAGCGAATTGATAAAGTATGTATGATGAGCAGTGGTGCGTTTACGGGAAAATGACATCGATTTGCATTTGGTTAGATTTAACGGCATTGATGAGTCTTGGCACCATAGCGCAACTGTGTCGAGGTCTTGCTGTAGTTCAGTACTGTTTTCAAAGTTGTGAATGGGGGAGTATATGACACAGTCATCCGCAAATAGTTGAAGTTTTGTTTGAATATGTACGTCTCCGAGCTGTCATTGGCTGCGGCCATGCCATGGTCCGTCACGGCGATGAAAATATCTGCCTGTTTTTATGCACGCCGCACATGCGATGCGGCGTTGCGATGTGATGAAACGTCACGAAAAGCCATCACTCCGGCTAGCGCATCGGCGTGCCGCGCATAGCACCGCACACAGCATCTCATACGCGTCTGTCTCCCACTTTATGGCGCTCGGCGGCTGGTACGAAAGTGTCGGGCTCAAATCAGTGATATTCCATGCAGAGAATTTTTTTTTCTTCTTCGCGGAATTTCCGCCTGTCATTTTGAACCAAAGAGAAAAAAGGAATCTTCGTTATACTGAAGGGCATTTCAGGAATGGTTAAGTTCTCCTTTGACAACTTATAATAAGCGGCCACAGTGTGCCTTCATCTGCTTTAATCGGTTCTGATGCATGCAGCACGCAAGCATGGACTTTAGATTTGTTTCTGATATTTACGGGGAGCGATTTCTAGTTCACTAGTGCTGTTAGACTCGAAGCCCTCAATGGTAGTGTAGTACAGGAATTAATCAAGTCATGCTTTTGTTGCGTGGCGGTAGCGGGGCTAGTCACGTTTTCAGAAGTCGCCATATTGTGAGACACGTGTAATTATAGAATGTTTGGGCGTAGATGGGGGCGTAAATTAGTACTCTTGTGCTGAGCATTTCGCTGGGAATTTCGTCAACGTGTGCAGAAAAAAATACCCGAAATAGGGATTTTCATGTCTCTGAATGGGAATTCTTCGGCGTAGTACGGAACATCGCTGACTTCAATACAGGCTGCGCTAGTGCACATTCCAATGAAGGCGAAATGGTAGAAGCCCGTGTACTGTCCGATGTCAGTGAAAGTTAAAGAACACCAGATGGTTAAATTTTGCAAACTTCTCCACTGCTTAGTCTCGTAGCCATCTCATTTTTAAGACGTAAAACCCGAGACGTTAATATTGTTTGTTTGTTGTCCCTTTTTCTCTTTATTATGCACCTGTACCACGTGGCACAATCTTTCAGCCTATATATTTAGCAGCGTTCACGCATGGCTGTAACCTACTAACTCTATGAACTAATTAGTTTCTTAAATAATTTTAGAATTTCAGCGAAAATGAAGCTACTTGATACGTAAAATAATGCAAAATGACAATGAATTGAGATTAGCAGGAAGCCTCTTCACGTTTGTTCTTTCCTACTTGCACAGTTGCTTGTAATAATATTGCAGGCCAGTGAAGGGGACTCAGGGAAAGCACTCAACAATCTTTACCCCCCTGTGCTAAGCTTATATTTATTTAAAGGGGCTGTAAAGAGAAACATTGACTCTGCTTATATCGACAGATGAACAGTGAGAACTCGTGTATCATATATGTTTCAGTATAACTTCATTACTAGCGGAGAAAACCACAGCTGAAGCTTCATTTTTAAATGTTGAGCCAAAATCTCCATCCGTGATGTCAAAAATTTGAAAATGTATTTTTTTGTATTTTCGCAATGTTTGGCTTGATCAAATTTTTTGAAACTTCGGTGCTGGTTCTATGGCACCAACAAATGAAAATTTACGTAAATTTTGATAGATTAGAAGCTATGTATGACCCAGTATGAGCCTTCAAAATAAGTGACATGATGGTGCCTGCTGGGGAAATGTCAAGATGGCGTCTTCACCTGCATATTCCTTTTGCCATTTACCAAGTGTCGTGTCACGGTTTTCAAGACTGTGAAATTGTGCTTTACTTTGAACTCTTCAAATATGAATGAACATAGCCAAGCTTTCTGATAAGACATCAAGCAAAATAATTGCAAATCCGACATGCAATTCAGCCGAGGAAAGTATAGGCAACGTTACTTTTTGCAGCAAGTATGACATAAATATGTAGGTAATACAGTGGATGAAAACATAATTCTCTTCGTCAGGGACCGAACCTACACCCTTCAAATATCGCGTCCAACTCTCTGCCTATTTATCTGTCACAATGATCGTTCTCGCACTTACCTTAAAGGGTACAAGTGCGCATTTCAGCCTAGCAGTGTTAGTCAATACGACTCTAGCACATATATATGCACAAATACTTGCCAAGATAAATGCACAGATAAATTCATGCGTGTCCTATGGCGTTAACTGAAGGGTGATTGCTCTCGTATCTCAAATGGCAGAGCACCAGATGCATTATTCAAAGGTGGCAGCTTTGGTCTCTGCTGGTGGCAAGCTGTCTTTCTTTCCCATCTATACCATAAGTAATACAAATAACGTCTCTGATACTTTCCGTGACACGATTTTTGTTTGATTTTATTCTAAGACTGTGTCTTAGAAAGAAATACGATCTCTCAACTTCGAATACTTTCGCGCATCATACTTGGTTTCCTTGCAGCTATTATTGCTTGTCTAGCAGACTTTCCAATGTACTGTATGTTCTGTGCTGTCTGCTTTCAAACTATGCAAGATGCAGTGACATGCATACGAATAAAACAAGTGCATACTTACGGGCAGAGAGCTGGCATTCTCAGCGAGAGTGAACCTTCCCACGGGAGTGAGGTGGTCATCCTCCGGCACTGAGAAACCGAGCACCGTGTAGTTGCCTTCAGCGTCGCCGTTTTCGTCGACGCGGATGTCGAAGCCGAGAGCACCTGGTCCCGCATAGACCAGCAGGAAAAGGTCAATCAAGCTAAAACTATTCCTAAACGTGAAGTCGCTAGAATGCATTAGCTGCATCAGCTTCGTAAAAAGAGTTCCTAGCTTTAAAAAAAGAAAGGTTGCGAAGCGTGCAGTCATGAACGAAAGGCTTGAAAGAGTGACTTTGGGCGATTCTAAAGACTAATCTGTTTCCTTTTCGGTTGTTTTTGTGTATTAGCTAGGTCACCCAGCTTATAGCTTGGTTGTAAGTTCTTGCTGGGCTTTAGCTACGCGATACTATAGGTCGCTTCTACGTAGAGTTTTTGCGCAGAGACGTTTGAGTTCAGCCACAGATATTGAAAGGCACAAGACGGTTGTCCAGGCCTACAGAAACAGAAATTTTCGTTGAGACAGAGCACTCGTTTTTCTCTTAGATCTACTGGTAAGTCGTTGTTCGCCTAGGACTTCCATCGCTTCGGCGTCTTCTAACAGCCGCCGCTGCCTTTGCAGTTTTCTTGTTTTCTCTTGCTGTGCGTATACTCATGGTGTTATTCTCATCGCCATCGCTTCTTGTTCTTGTTTTTACAGATTACCTAGAAAACCATGGTGCTTGACCTATTGCGCAGCTCTAATAAGGAATTGTCTCGCTCTACGTGTTGTTTTCCTCCTTTTTCGGTGAACAGTAGGGAGTAATGAGATCAACGTAATTTTTGTGGTGCACACCACTTACAACGATGAGAGTTTACTGCGACCAACTCGCAAGGAACGATTTGCTAAACAGTTTCGCTGATAAAAATGGTTAGTGAGACACACGTGACGATTGAACAACGCTGGTGCATTTTGTCTAAAAAACAACACCGTACCCGCCATCACTGCCTATAGTGATTATGGTGCTGTACTTTTGGCCAAAGATGGCGTCATCAAAACCCACCCTGGCGGTCACATTCCAATGAAGGCAAAACGCTTTAAGCCCATCTACTGAGAGTTATATGCTTGTTAAAGAACACCGGGTGGTTAAAATGTCCCGGACACCCCACTGTGGCGGTCGAAATTTCCGGAGCCCTCCACTACGGCGTCTCTCATAATCATATAGTTGTTTTGGGACGTTAAAACCGACAAATCAATCAATCACCCCACTGTGGCATCTCTCATAATCATGTCGAGGTTTGCAGACAAAATCTTAGCGAAAAAAGACAACAACACTCTGTCACATTTGCTAAAATAATAATGTGAAATTAAATGAGAGCAATGAAACCGTATAAATCTCAGTGCAAGTACAACGCAACTCATCAGGCCAACTCATAAAAGATACAGTGGTGTGCGTTCCTTTTGCCTCTATCAACTCTCCATCACAGTAACAACACAGCAAGGCCAGAGCGTAGAATTCCCGAATCTTGACTAGCAGCTATGGGGCTGCCATCGACAGCCTAACACTTTTTCACTCATTCTTTGACCTGCGCTCATGAACCAGCTCCACGTGCTTCAACATTTTTCGCATCTTCGTCCGCGTTGTCGTTGCACTGCATCCACAATTGTTCGAGTACAGTCACCCATTAGCCCAGCTTTCAATCGTTACACGTTCTTCAATTGCACCTTACTTCGATATAGGCTGCCTCGTATCTTCAGCCCAATCGCAGTGCCGTTGGTGAGCGATCCGTTCTCGCGTAGCACCTGCGTTGCGGCCCTGGCCCACAGCATAACGGCGTCGTATGTCAGGCCGGCGTATATCGGGACCTGCGAGTACCAGAGGAAGATGCAGTAAGTGAAGTGGGCATTGTACTACCACTTATCTGAGTGTTTGCAGGTGCCCCTAGCTTTGAGTGTACGGAAAGTGCTGCTACATTACCGAAGTGTTTTCGTAGTGACTATATAAGTCGTTAGCTCATAGAAAAGAAATACTGGAAATAAATTGCTTGAATGTGCCTGCGCCGACCTCGCTGTTGAAGTGAAATCGTAAAACTGGTAATTGAAGATCATTGCTAATTTATACGGTGCTTTATGACCGTGCGCGACTGTGAACATTCTCCATCGTATTAATTGGGAATTCGAACAGTGGGTGACGAAAGCATGTACAGTACGTATTTGCTTCATGCTGTCAAAATAGAATTGAGTTGCCCGTAAGGTTTTGTGCCGTACGTTTTTTTTTTTCGTCACTTGACCGTTTTCACACTCTGCCCTTCATCATCTCGTAAAGTTCATCATTCCCGGCACTCATGATCATGCCTTCCCCAACGCTACTTTTTTATTAGCGTTCCCAAAAAACTCAAACTCAAGTTGTCCAAGCCACCTCACCTCACAATTATAACCGAAGTAAATAAAACTGCAGCAAGCGTTTCGGAGTAAGAAAACTAAAGAAATATTCAGAACTAGCTAGGAAGTGCAATCGATCATCAGTAATAAATGACCTCTAGTTGCTGGTTTTAGTGAGCGTGCAGCGCAGCAAGCATTTTGTCATTCATATATCTGGAAGCTAATATGCGCCCGTTGCCGTGTCAAGACATATGTCGGTATTATCCCTTTCCGTACATATGTATTTCTCATCACACTATCTATTGAAAGTATGGTGAAGGTTTTCAACCATTAACGGTAGTGTAAAAGAAAGTTTTTTGTTGAGGCCCACGGGACGGCTTTAAGCTCTCCCATAGTAGAGTGCCAAGTGCTCTAAATCGTTAACCAATTTTTCTAAACACACAACTGCCGCTTCAACTGATTTAGTTTGACATAACAACTACATCTGTGTATTGCAGGTACACCTAGGACCCAGACTGCAGCTATTTAACGCCAATTGACTTAAGAAACTTTGGCCGTAAAACGGTAATTGAGAACGAAATGCTAAGAGTAAGGTTTTAAATGTTCATCATGTTTTGAGCTTGGATCTTTAAGGAGGCGAATGCAGGTCTGAAATTGTCCGTCAACCCCAGAATTATAAACAACAGACTTGTGAAGAAATATGAATTGCGATAATGTGCATATAAGGTGTTCATCTTATATAAATTTGATTAAGAGACACCTTAAAGTTTGCATTAGCATGAAACTTAAAACTCCTCTTAGACGATGACGCATTTGAGATTATACACCATTATGTAGCTAATAATTTGCATTCGTTATACAAAAAAGAGCAGAACAACTGTAGATATCAACAATAGCCGGATATTCGGGAAAAAAGTTGTTAAATCTTCACATATCTGCATTATTAGACCGAGAGGCTTCTCTATAGGTGTAATACGCCTCTGAGAATAGCTGCCGACGCAAAAAACATAATGGTAAAAACAGTTATAACCACTGCATGATGATTTTTTTTCTTTCGCACCTGCCAACCCACTCTCCCCCCCCCCCCCTTTTCCTTAAGGAAAATAAAATCAGTAGGTTTTATGAAGTACTTGCCTTAAATTTGAGCTCGGTGTGCATTGGTATGCAAAGTGGTTGGGTGCCGGCGTAGCTCAGCACTGCCTCCGAGAAACGGCCATAGTGCTCGTCAGAGGGCACGCGCGGCGACAGCAGAAGCACAGCTCGGAAAGGGAACGGCCGCACGATGGAAGAGTCCTCCCAGCCTGCATTTATCACAGGTGTTCATTCAGTAGTAACACAAACCTCATGTTTTGTAGCGCCCTTCTATACTTGCCCCGCATCTGCCTGGTAACAATGAAAGCTAGGTGTGGTACCGTATTATCGTTTATAGCTGTATTTGCTTCATCTTTGAACATTAGCGGTTATACTGCCTACGTGCTACGTACTGGGCCGACGTCCATTATTTTCTTGATTTCAACTATAATATTCTCAACCCTGGTTTGTTAAGGGTAACTGACTGGATTCCCAGAGAAGCTAAAAGAGTAGGGGAGGGGGAGGCAGACAGTTGGGTGGGCAGATGAGATTAGGAAGTTTGCCGGTATTAAGTGGCAGCAGCAAGCACAGAACCGAGTTGACTGGCTAAACATTGCCTTTCTGCGGCAGCTGCCTTTCTGCGGCGGCTGCATTTCCGATGGAGGCGGAAATATTCAAGGCCCGTGTGCTCAGATTTGGGTGCACGTTAAAGAACCCCAGGTGGTCGAAATTTCCGGAGCCCTCCACTACGGCGTCTCTCATAATCATATGGTGGTTTTGGGACGTTAAACCCCACATATCAATCAATCAATCAATCAATCAATCAATCAATCAATCAATCAATTAATTAATCAATTAATCAATTAATCAATTAATCAATCATGAACATTGCCTTTGTTTGCCCTGTAGTGGGCGTAGTTAGGCTGATGATGGCGAATAGTAGCCCGTACAACATTAGTGTGCAATGCTAGAAATGGTTTAAAACATGGTTTAACTGTGCGATTAAGACCATACGAATGTAGGAACACACACATATATCTGTCTCATTGTCATCGCGCAGTTAAACCTTTTTTGAAACCATGATTAACCGACGAGCCAAACATCATTCCTTGCTTCAGTGTTACACGAATCTTGCGTACCACGCCAGTGTTACGGACCTTTCACTGAGTGCATGTTTGTGTGTGACCTATGGTGTGTGCTATATTTCTCACTCTTTCCACTAATTCATATCTCTATTTCAAACTCCCTCATCACTTTCCCACGTGTAGGGTAGCAAACCATCTATGCTCGAATGGTTAACCTCCTTGCCCATGGAGAAATCTAAGTGGATGGCATAAACGGTGCATTTGTGGGAGCCAAAGGTCCCTTAGGCAGCATCTGGACGGAATGCAGAAAGCCGTACCCTAGTTGCGATAGCTTCCGTTTGTCCATCATAGCCGTGTGCCATCACTTGACCTTGCTAGTTTAAAAAAAAAATTGGATTTTCTTTAGAATCTACATACTGTATACACAGGGCTGCTCACAATTTTAAATTAAATAAACCATTCGGAAGGACGCATTCTATCATAAATGAAGTGCCATCAACCACAAATTATCAACCCATTTTTTTTGTCCTTTGACTTTGTCGTAAGAAAAAAATTCATTCTTTGAAAAGGTTTGCTTTGGATCTAGGACAATCTAGAGCCTGAAAAAAAACAGCATAAAAAGACCAAGTGTAGAAAATGTGACCGAGCACCATGATCAAGTGGTAGAAATAACCGATACTGCAAAGCAATCTTCATAACCACTTTGTTCGATGTATTTACAGGGAGGCAAAGCTGTGCAGTGGGCATTCTTTAGGAGCGCAATAAAACAAAAACATCTTGACGGCAAAGTGAGCGGTTATATTAAAAGGCAGGCATTTCTACGCCTCCTGCACCCGACCAAACAATGTTGATGATTCTGAATAAGCGTGACCACCAGCGATGGCTCCAACACCGCTGTGTTTGCCATGCGCTGATGGCAGCCTCCCCTAGCGTACGGCTGTGGGCGACCAGTGGGGTAGGGCGGTATACGCTGGAGACATCGCGCGAATCCCATGATTGGTAGTCCTCAATAATTGATTGTTATTTAACATCAAGCAAAAAAAGTCACTCCCTTTACATATGATACCTCCTTACATATGCCAAGAAACACCAAGCCAAGAAAACTAGCTGATGTGTGTGCCACACATTTGATTTTAAAAAAAAGCCTCTGCGTTGCATTTTGTCTCTACTCGTCCATCACGGCGGCGTGGCGTTTAGGGTGCTACTACTCAGCTGCTGACCCGAAGGTCACAGGTTTGATTCAAGCCGTGGTGGTCGCATTTCGGCAGATGCGGAGTGCTGAAGCCTCGTGGACAGTGCGACGTCAACGTGCGTCACTGAGCCGGCCTTGAAACATATAAAACAAAAGATATCATCAAAGAATTTTAGGCAAAGGAGCACACGGGCCTTAAGGAGGGCAAAGTTTCCTTGCTGCACGGTTTTAAAAAATTCACACCATATCCATGGAGGCAATGCTGATGAGTGGGGCGAAGCGTCTCTATGTATGTATGTATGTATGTATGTATGTATGTATGTATGTATGTATGTATGTATGTATGTATGTATGTATGTATGTATGTATGTATGTATGTATGTATGTATGTATGTACGTACGTACGTACGTACGTATGTATGTATGTAATGTATGTATGTATGTAAGTATGTATGTATGTATGTATGTATGTATGTATGTATGTATGTATGTATGTATGTATCGCGTCGTCACAGTATGTTCTCACGATGTGATCCTCGGCGGGGATTTTCTGTTTCGTAATCATGCGGTTATCGACTGTGTTCGTACTAAGGTGGCCTTCTCTGCGTTGTGTGCCTCGTCTCCGGAACTTGCGTTGAACAAGCTGTTTGTCGCAGACGACATCGACATACCATCAACTAGCGCAGCCTTTGTTCCCGTGTCTTGTGCCGATGTGTCTAAGCCTGCAGTGTTATTTATGCCTCCCCAAACATTCTAAAGTTGCAAGAGCTTCGCGTTGCCGTTTGCTGTCCTAGATATTTCGGCGGGCGCTACCATTTTGTTTATCACAAATCACTTGCCGTCTCCCACAACCTTCCGTCACGGAGAATGTATTGGAACATTCCAAGACTTAGACATTTTCTACATCTACGGCCTTGACGGTGAAAGTGATTTGCAGCTTATTGCACTGACGCCATCTGCCCGTTCACATGTTCCCGAAAACAATAATTTGTTTGGCCCTCAGTTTATGGCTAACTTGAAGAACCACACCGCGAGAAGCTTCTAGAACGTCTTCACTAGTTTCGCGGCTCGTTCGATTGTCAGCAGACGTCCTTAAGCCGAACGCACACCGTTGCCCATCACATTAACACCGGCTCCCAAGCACCTCTGCGACAGCATCCCTACCGCGTATCTCCTGTTGAGCGTCGTATGATCACCGAGCAAGTGGCCGACATGCTTCAACGTGGCGTCATTCGGCCGTCCAGCAGTCCCTGGTCTTCACCTGTGGTATTTGTGATGAAAAAAAAGACGGCTCGATTCGCTTCTGCGTTGATTACCGCTGTTTAAACAAAGTTATGCTTGAAGACGTATACCCTTTGCCACGTATCGATGATGCCCTGGACTGCTTGCAAGGCGCTGAATTCTTCTCATCATTAGACTTACTGTCCGGTTACTGGCAGGTCCCCATGGCACCACGAGAACGCTCAAAAACTGCTTTTGTGACACCCGATGGGCTATACAAAATTATTGTAATGCCCTTCAGCCTTTGTAATGCTCCAGCAGCATTCGAAAGGATGATAGATAGCATCTTGCGCGGGCTAAAATGGAAGACATGCCTATGTTACTTGGATGATGTCGTTGTTTGCTCCCCTGATTTCGACAGCCACCTCCATCGTCTCGGCGAAGTCTTGAGCTGCCTCACGAGTGCAGGCCTTCAACTAAACATCATGTGCCACTTTGGAGCTCGCAAGCTCACAGTACTTGGCCACGTTGTCTCAAAACATGGCGTCCACCAAGACCCAGGGAAGCTTCGTGCTGTCGCTGAGTTCCCGAAGCCTACGACCGTAAAAGCGCTTCGCAGCTTCGTCGGACTGTGCTCATACTTTCGCTGCTTTTTGAAGAACTTTGCTTCGATAATCGCACCACTGACACAGCAGATCACTTGCGATGGACACATCTCTGATTGGTCGCCAGCATTCGACGATGCTTTTGCAACATTACACCATGTCCTTACTTCACAACCTATTTTACGCCACTTCGATCCTACTGCTCCAACCGAGGTGCACACAGATGCCAGTGGCTTAAAACTTGGCGCTGTCCTGGCTCAACGCAAGCCTGGCTTCTCGGAATATGTATTTGCGTATGCCAGTCGTACCCTTACCAAGGCAGGCCACAAATACTCGGTCTCCAAAAAGGAATCTTTGGCTATTGTTTGGGCATTACAAAAATTTCGTCCTTACTTCTACGGACGCCCATTTGATGTCGTTACAAATCCGCATTCACTCTGTTGGCTCGCTTCATTGAAAGATCCTTCGGGCCAAAGGGGGTTTATCGACTAAAACCAACCGCCTGGTTTAAGGGGCGTCAGTCACTGTCATGAGCTCAGCTCTTCGTCGCAGTCGTCTTGTAGCTGCTCCGACTAGATACTGTCTCAATCCCACTACAATATATATATATGTATATATATATCTATGTATATATATATATACATATATATATATATATATATATATATATATATATATATATATATATATATATATATATATATATATATATATATATATATATATATATATATATATATATATATATATATATATATATATATATATATATATATATATATACAACCAAGAATGCCATACCGTTATTCTTGCATTGAGTGCAGAAAACGACTGTATGTATTAGTGCTTGCCAAACGACTTGAAAGACAGTATCTTTAAGCGATATTTTCTCAATGTGTGTAGACTTTTGCACAGGACGAAGTTACCAACAGAAGGCCATATTTAGCTTTACAAAGAAGAAACACCATAGACGAGAGGCCCCCACCTACTCAGTACTTTTATCACTGCCTGTCTTTCTTTTCCAACTTTGTACAGCTGACATGGTTTTCCGGATAAGTAAAAGTAGTCGAAAACATTCACATATCGACGCCTGGAATGTAAGAAATCATGGAAAATAGCTTTTTTGT